GCCATGTGATGGGGTCGGAAATTCCTAGGCTGTCTCGTGTGACCATTGCCTGGCGTACGTCCTTGCTTCGGTGTTCAGCGATGTAACCGATGAGTGCAGTGTGCCCTAAGTTGGTCTTAGTGGCCCATTGACGGAACTGTTCTGCGAAGGATACCATTGTGGGATACATCTTGCCGCAGATATCCTTCAAATGCTGCTGTGCATCCTTGTCCGGGTCGAGGGTCCTGTAGTTTACTTTGAGAATGTTGACGAAGTCTTCCCATGTGCCAAGTGCCTGCCGTGCTGCTGCTCTGGTCGCATATTCAGACATGTATGTGAACGCACCACCTTCCAAATGCAGCAGGGCCATGGTAATCTTGTGCTCATCGTCGTTGATCTCGTTCCACCGCATCCATATACTGAGTTGTTGGAGCCAGTCCTCCAGACTTCCTTTGCCCGAGTAGTGTGGAGGTTCAGCAATTTTGATGCGTGGCTTGTGCGATTGGACTGTGCCGGATGTTTGACCTTGCATCATAGTGACGCCGCTTGCTTTGAGCGAAGCTAGCTCATGTCGCAGCCTGGTGTTTGCTGCCTTGATTTCCATCATCTCTTTTCCAATATCCAACATTGCCGCTTGTGTTCCGGTGAGTTCGCCGTTAAGTACCGTTATATGTGCATCTTGCGCATCGATCCTGTCCTTGAGCTTGCCGTTCTCGGTTTGGAGCAGTGCCTCCTTTAACCGGTGCTCATTCTTGTTATTCTGGATCTGCGATTCAAAGGCTTTCTTGTGCTCATACATTTTGTTTCTGAGCACATTGTAGACCTTGGCGATTTCAGTAGTGACCGTGAGCTTCATTGCGACGATTATCCATTCGCGTATGTGGTCCGGGACTTCTCCTGGAGCGGACTGTCTGAGAGCATCTTCTAGGTGCTCGAATTGGTGTCCATCAAACTCCCAGATGGGTGGGACATAGGCTGGTACAAGTGATGGTGTCGGGGATGCTGGTCCTCCGACTTGTGATGCGGAATCCTGCGGTCCTAGTGCAGGTTCGGGTGAATTGCGCTGCGAGGCGCGTGGGGTACTTCCGTCGTGTGCTGACTCGACGTTTGTATGAAGAATGTCATCCATTCGTTGCCTGAACGTGGATGCGTGCGCACGATCAGCTGACTCCATTGTGATATAGGTAAATTAATACAAAAAGTGCAAATATCTCGCTTTTGAGATGAAGACCAGAGCCTTGGTGATTTCCTGCAGCCTCTCTTCCTTTCCTATCTGCTTGAAACTGATTCCTCCTATCTCCAGACAGACTTTGTTGATAACCTGCTTCTCGACGAATGTATATGTGCACGTCCCTGTGTGTAGGTCGGCGCAGACTTTATCGAGCTCTGTGGCGAGGCTAAAGATGGGTCCTTGGTGCTCGTCCTTGAGACGATATGAGAATGCTCCTAATATGGGTTAGAGCCTGAAGCGGGTAGCGTCCACCTGCTTCATAAGGGTCTCGATGTGGATCGTCGGCCTGACTCTGGAAGGGAGTGGGCGGATGGGACGTGCGATGGTGTTTGTCTTTATGAAGTTGGGTAGGGGACGAGTTGGAATGGGAGCAATGATGGGGGGAGGGACTGCGTTGGAGGTGATAAGCTCTGGGGGCGGTGCCGGCTTGCGACTACCAGTGGTAAGACGTCCCTTTCTGGGCTTGTAGCGTTCAAGCGGTGGGGTGTGATCGCGTGGCTTGCGGATGATCCCGCGCTTTATGATGTGTGTGGTATCTACAACCCTAGCTGCTGCTCGCTGCCTGTCTGTGGATGATGCGCCTAGTGACGCAAGTGTGAGGAGCCTTCCACGCTCCTTGTTGGTTTCCTGACGCTTGTAGTGGGCGTCGAGGTCGATCCTGGGGGTGGCCTTGCACTTTGAGGCTTTGGGCAGCTCAGAGTCTTGCTGAGGCTCACGCCGGGTAGAGATCAGATGGGAATGTGTGTCAAAAAAGCCGCACGCTACGGCTGAAACTGCTTGTGCTGAAAATACGCGGCCGCTTGTGTTAGACACTAAGCAGGGGCGCAGAAAATGTCAGATTGTTTCTAATGTCACAGTAACACCGGACAAGAGATCAAAAAGACTAAAAAGAGACAGTCACGTGGAACGTGCCGCTCTGATCCCCCTGATCCCAAAAGTATCCCCCTGAACCCTATGTGGCGCAAGAGCCTGTTGACTTACTGGTCGAAGTGGCAGACACAGGAAGGGGTGAGAGATATATGAAGGAGCTGGTGAGCTCAGTGGGTGCTATAGGTAGTAGACGAGGAGAAACAATCTGAGGTTTCGTCCCCTACATGGCTGGTCTTATATACACGTACAGCGGGCTATCTTACCTAAGCTACCTATCTACGGGTACAAGCAAATGGCCGTACATGAAACAATAGGATGTCCGGAAGTAGAACAATAAGTGAGAAGATCGATGGTTGCCGCAGTAATGCGTGTGCACATCGTGCCTATCTTGGTTCTCCTTTTGTTCTCCGGTGTGAACATCGTACCTATCTAGGCTTCTGGCTAAACTAATAGGAAGCAGAAGGCCGATGCATAACAATAGTCCTTGTTCCCTTTGTTCCCAAATGGGTGCCTCTATTGTATCCTGGAATAGACAGGTCCGACCGTATCATCCACGGGTCTGGATGTCACAAAGCACCAAAGCACTTAACCCAATTAAGGGCAAGTCTGCTTTTGTGACCTGCACAAATGATTCCACATAAAAAGCCTGCCACAAGGG